AGGAATATACTTACAGATCTTCTCGCGTCACTTCATAAGAGAGATTCTGAACGAATACCGTCATTTTCTGCCCCTGGACAACAGCAATAAACCCTTTCTTAAACCATCAACAGAATTGAACCAAGACATTCACCCAAAAGAAAGTAAAGATATGAACAAATACCGTCTTTTTCGGCCCCTGGACAACAGCAAGAAACCCTTTCTTAGACCATCAACAGAAAAGAAACAAGACATTCACACAAAAATTTTAAGTATAAGAGATATAGGAACTGAAAGTGTACCTCATCCACTTCCTGAGAATCTGATATGTCAGAAGTATCTACCTTCTTTTGAGCATTTTCACTCTCAACTCGTTCATTTTCATAACCACCGCCACTAAGAAAGGCACCTGTCTGATGGGAAAGTTCATTTTGTACAATTTTTCTACAAAGTAAAATATAAACTCGTAATAAATATATAATTGATGCATTCATATTTTAGCATCTTTATCATANATTTTATTTANNTTTTATAGTCATTATANTTTCATTTTGCATATTTCTCATCATTTTGAGTCTCATATAGAATAAGTTGAGTTTTAGAGTTTTAGATTACATTTCATTGCATTTGCATAGTCCTTGAGTCATTACAGTACTTGAAGAAGATATATATGCAAATCACTCGCAGCATAATTACGTACTTGCTTGAGATTTGCAGCTGGAAATCCAGATTTGCAGCTGGAAATCCAGATTTTCAGATGTTGGTTGCTATAATACCACTAGAGGCAACGATGATACTAGAAAAAGGAAAGCAAGAGAGAATGGAAAATAAAAGCGCATCAGCAAGATTCTTGGTAGTTGGTGGCCTCATAGTTTCTTCTCGCTAGCACCAATGCAGTATATAGTCACCGAGGCATTTTCCAGTGCAGGCTGTATTGGCTCTCCAGGTCAGAATCTAGCTATATTAGTGTCCTATAGTCTTAAGACCCACTATGATACGTCAATTGTCAATGATTTGTTCCAGAAACAGCAAAGTCAATTAAGTAAGATCCTGTAAAACTAGCCATCTTTCTAAAGGTACAAAAGACAGCTAACAAGTAAAAACTCAACAACAAAAGTCTGATATCGAGCAATGGCTTTGAGGACTTGGCAGCAGAGTCAGCAATGGAGAGCCGAGGGAGATGATGCAGCTTGAGGAATTGAGAGCCACAGCAGCAGGCCATGGGGATATATGTGTGCTTTCTTTACAATCCAATGCTTCAAGGATTCAATGCTCCGGAAAGGATTTGGGTCAAAATTTTATGTCCAACAGATCCTCCACCTAGAGCCTACAACAATAATTTGTTAAAATGATATTTGGTACGAATAATTTCCATGATGACAAATACTAATTAAGAAGCCTAGTTATGATGATAAAACCACTGAAACGAAACACTAATTACTTGACTATTAGGCAGTTAGAGAGAAGCCTAGTAAGAGAAATGAAGACAAATAAGAATGAATCTAGTGAAGAACCTTGGTCTTAGAGTTTACCAACCATCTCATCACAGTTTTGCATAGATTGTCAGAATTAGCTAAGCGAAAGTTGAGTTATTATTCTATCTGGCGCAATGCCATGATCGCTATTCATGTCGAGAAACCATAGCTTCATGCGAGATATGATCGCCATTGCTCTTTTCCACATGCTTAAAATAGGTCGACCTGCTTGCTCTGTTAGGATGCAAACCAAGCACCCTCAGTTGCTGCATATTCAAAACCATAACAAATTGAATATACCCATATTTCACTCCCTCTCATACTAACTGTCCACAGCTACATCGGATTAGATTCGATGGACAGTCACACATGGACACAAAAACCGGAAAGCACAATCTCTACATAACATATCCTTTCTACAAAGTCTTAAAACTCACTATCCTATAATCACACATGAACCAGATGAGTCACCAAGGACTCAAAGATCCTGGATTTACACTCGATCACAACTATTGAAGCATAAGTTGTCGATACTTTGCTAAAATCTTAATCCATTCTACACTAATAATGAATGGGTTGTCAATCCATTAACAATTATGGGCCGAACCACCTAATTGATCTACATGTGCTGAGCCCCCTATACCAAACAACAAGCCCACTACACCAAGAAAGAGGTTGATCGGAGAAGTTGTTGATGAGGCATAGTAACCGTGTCGCTGGTTGACCCATTGAGTTCTCCAACGCTAGCCAACGGAAAAGGCGGATTTATGTTCTTCTCAGGAGCTGAAACAACGCAGGTCCATCGTCGAAGGGGAAAAACAGATCTAGACGACGTGGTCGAGAGACCTTGGAGGTAAAAGGTGTAGTGGTCGTTTGAGCTAAACATGAAGAATATGGTCTCGTTATTGATTCTTGTTTCTTGATAACAAAGTAACTTGTAATTAGTTGATCATCCAAATGGTAGAGTATTCCAGATTCTGAATTGGAGCACTAACAAAAGAAGGAAATAAACTGAAATCTCTTAACATATTTTGATCTCTGATGGATTCCGGAACTTTTTGGTAGAGAAAAAAAAAGAACAATGAAAACCTAGATGTCATGGTTCTTATTAGTTTGTCTTTTATGGAGGTTAACTCGAGTACGTACTTAACTTTGGGTATGAAATAATTTAGTTTTCGACCAACCTCTCTAGCAAAAACATATTGTAATTTATTTTATCACCATGCAAATCCACTATTAATCTCTACAAAACAATGTTTTATGGTGCTTTTGTTTTCAAATAGCAGATTATACAAATTAATGAAGGGTTGTCTGCATATTTTCCCCCTACAATTGCTACTGAAAGTATGTTCCCCCAAACTTTTTATCTCTTCGTTTTACTACACAAACTATGTAAACTGATAAAAAACTACACAAACTAATTTTTTTCTATGAAATTTACCAAATGAAATTGGTTAAACAAAAACCATTGATTAAACCATAACCATGGTTAAGTAAATCGTAATCATTTTTTATAATTTTAATTTATGATTATTTAGTTGTACACGTGTCATTTTTTATTAAATGGATCATACACTTTGAAAGACAGAGCAAAAACATTTGAGATTTTTTATTGACTTCAAAGTTAACCGGAGATAACCAAAGCTTAAATCCATCTGATTCAATTCCGGTTTAGTTTTTTTTTTTCGGTTCGGTTCACTTGTTTTTGAATTTACAACAAAACTCTTGGGTTCGGTTCTTGTCGTCTTTGGTTAGTGTTGTTGGTAGGTAGGTAAAAGGATTTGCATTTATCGCCTCCAGTTGCAGAGAGAAGACCACCAAAAAAATTTTCCAAAACCATTACATTAGATTAGACCATATTTCGACCAAAAAAAAAAGATTAGACCATATAGATTGAATCCACCAACCCCCAAAATTTTTCCCTCACCAACTCCATTTTTCTTCTCTCTCTCTCTTTTAAAACCTTTTTTCTTTTCTTTTCTCAATTCTTCATTCTTCGCTTCGATCCTTAATCAATGGCTTCTTCTCTTACTTCTAATTCCATTCTCGGATCCACCAAACCCGGTTCTCTTCCATCGGAGCTCTGTCGTCTCTCTTCTCCCGCCGTTCAGATCTCTATCCGAACCCAACCCAGAAAAAACTTCCGTGAGT